CGTTGGTGAAACGTAGCCCTAAGAAGTTGATGGTTGATGATGTTGATTAGCTGCCTTCCCTCTAGTCTATCACTGCTAAATTATGAAAGGCTAGCGCAAATAGCCCTCGAATAGCTTTGCGTGAAATTCAAAATAAACAAATAAATCCTTACACAATATTCGTTGTGAATATGTTTCAAAGTGTCCTACATACTGATCTAATTATTTTGTTTGTTTAAAATCTATGGGAATGTATACTAGTTAAAATGATATTTTATGTATAAATGCTGTTATACTGGTTATTTTTGCAATATCCTACAAATAAAAGTATTGCAAACCTGTGGTTAAAAAAGCCACCCAAATTAACGTATTTTATTTGAGTGTGATGTGTTACGTAAACATAACGATAAACCAACTCTTGGATTCAAACGTTTTTGACTTCCTGATATACTTGTTATACCCGTTTCAAAGTGCGCAAGACAGCTGGAAGTGACGTCACTCGCATCCGCTTTTATTGGAAATATTCAGCTCTGTGCGATGTTTCCCCTTAACACTCACAAAAGATATAGTGTTAAAAGCGAAATATTTATTTTCAAAACTAACTAGTTACCCTTGTAATGGGAATTAAAAGTAGCTTATAGCTTACAGATATGCGCCATATACATGAGAACAAAATTACTCGTAATAAAAACGTGTAGAACCATTTGTGACATTCTATAAATATTTTAATATAAATCTACATCTACAACAAACAATAACTAAATTTTAAACATTACCACGCTAATTTCAAGAGTAAATAGTCGTGTTTTATAAACTGTTCGAATAACATCTATTGTACGTTATGCTAATTGTTCCAATAACAATGGCTGAGGATACCCAAAGTTTTGAGTTTTAACTTAACTCCGATATAAATATATTCTTTTACCTACTAAACTCGCATCAATATGTACTTATAAAATAACATTTGATTTGCAAAGTTTCGCTATTTCAGCTTATATTCATCAGTATTTTACGCGTCCCTCTCTCTCTCTGGCGGCTGAGCGGTAAGTCTGAGAGTTTTTCACACTAAAAATCGGGTTTCGATATCCGTGGTGGACAGAGAACAGATACCCATTGTGTAGCCTTGCGTTTGACAACAAGGTATT